TTTGCGAACCAAATAGATCGTATGTATTTTACAACTAAATTGTATAAATTTTTAATAAATTGTATTCTAAAAATAACTTTTTACAGAAAAATTGTAATAATAAGTATTTTACAACTAAATTTTATAACAAAATTCATCAATATTACATCTCGATTAATGATTATGATCATTTTATAATATAAAAAATATAAATATATATTAACTTAATTTGTAATGTTATATATATATATATATATATATATATATATATATATATATATATATATATATATATATATATATAACACTTGATTAGGTTCGCGAGTTGTTTGAAATAAGTATTTGATTGAGTGTTCAAATTTAACTTGACTCATTACTTTAACTTCACTCATTACTTGAACTATTAGATCTCAACTATATAATTAAATTTAACTCAAAAATTTATCCAATCAAGTTTGAATAATTTGAGCCCAATGCACCCTATCAATTCATATATCGTATTGATGGGGAAATGAATTATTTTTATTTTTTAAAGGCAGCTAGGGGTAAGTTCAAACAAAGCATAATAGTTCCAAGAGACAGACAAACAGTGACTCCCAACAACATGACAAAGGGTCCCCAACCCTCTGTTAAGATGGAACTGAACTCTACATGCTTATCCCCTTCTCTACTATGTTTTGTTTGTTTTTACTTTTTCTTTTTTCCTGATTTTCATATGTTTTTCCATCTTCATTTCATGGTTCATAAGTTATCAATGCTTTGTTATACTGGATATTATTTGATGGTTATATCATTTTTAGATAGTAAATTTAATTTCCAAGCTTAATATATTTGAGCCTTAGCCGGATATTATCATATATTGCAAGAACTTGACTAATAGAGAGTAAGATGTGCCGGTGACACATTCTCCAATAAAATAAATGTTATCAAAATCAAAAAGTGTGTAGTAATAAATATGTTTTATGTTTTGTATTTTACAATTCTTCAATTTTTTCCAAAAAAAAAAAAAAAAAAAAAACTAGAGAAATTTTTCAATTAGTAAACATACCCTAAAGTTTTAACTTTTTTTCCCCTTTCATAATGTAATGAAGTGCTTTGTAAATTTTTCTTTTTTAACTTGATTAATGCATAATTATGTATTTTAAAAAACATATTTTTATATGATATTATTTTAGTATTATTTAAATGTATAATTTTGAAATTTGCAGTTTGAAAAGTATATTAATAGCCTATCTCATTTACCCAACCTATCAAAGTGTAAGTTGAGTTTACAAATCTCGAAGCTATTTTAAAAATGGGCCAACCCATTTTTCATTGCCTCGTCATAGGCCAACCTATATGGGGAGGTTAGCTTGTATCGATAGCTTCTACTACTTAAGGATGAGAATATAACTATGATTACATTTCAATTCCTTTATAAAGATAATAAAGGAGAGTTAATTATCGATATGGTCCCTCAACTATGAGGATTTCATCAATCGAGGGCAATCTTGTCTATTCACCTCATTGGCGCCTAATACACTTGTCGGTAACCCCATACAACCGTTCGTTAGTTCACATCCTCCCCCAATTAACACCATAGTCGAACAAAAACCCTAATTTGTACAATTTCTCAAGCTTTTTGACAAAAGGAAGTGAATTAGGCAAAAAATTGGCAACAACTCATGGTGATTCGAATGTCTAGGAGTTCAAACTTTCCAATATATGGTACGCAAAATATGTTTTTACTTTGTTTATCCTAGTTTTGTATCTTCGTGTTTCGAATGTGAGTCTAAGTGTCTATGTGTATCTTTGTGTTTTGTATGTTCAGTTTGTGTCTATGTGTTCAATGTGAGTCTTTTATAGGGTTAAGTAAAGAGGGGGACCACTGTGCATAGGTAAATTCATCGTCTTTGTATAATAGGGTGTCGAGGGCACCAGTAGCATAATTGTTGAGCATTGTATAGTGAACACGAAAGTGTTTTGTGTGTTTGTAAAATAGGGTACCGGGGAGACCACTACTATTCTTTCTGTTTTTTTTTTCTTTTCTTTCTTTTCTTTCTGATGGATGTGTTTTTTGTTTGTTACTTATTTGAATCATTCCGAGGATGGTGATGACAGTAGCATTACACTTAATGTTAGGCATGGTGGGAGGATATTAATGAGTGAACTAGTGACATATGTAGAATGTTGTATAGATCATTTTGACTACATGGATGTTGATGAATGGTGGTTTATGACTCTTCAAGAGAAAGTCATAGAGTTAGGGTATAATAGTAGTGAATGTAAGCTCTATATTGTAGTAGGTGAAGGGTTGATTGAGGTAATTTCAGACAATGAAGCATGTGATTTAATTCATTTTAGTGATAAAGATAGGGAAGTAGATGTGTGGATAAACATTGGAGGCTTAAATCTTGAACAAAGTGATAATGAAGATTTTGATTATGAACATGAAGTGAAAGAAGAATTGCATAGTGTAGGGGTAGGATAAGATGATATTCAGTTTGATAAAGCAATAGATCCAAAGGTGGAATATCATGGGATAGGATCGAGTAACATTTTGTAGGAGGGTGAACCTGGCAGTGATAAAATGAATTTCCAAGTGAGTTTTTCTAATGAAGAGACACCTCATGGTAGTGATGAAGAAGTAGAGGTTGATATATGGCTAAATTTTAAGACTTGTGACATGAACAACCCTCATTTCAGTGTTGGAATGACATTTGGGCAAAAAACTGATTTTAAAGAAGCCATATCAAAGAAGGGAAAAATATAAAGTTTGAAAAGAATGACAAAGTAAGGTGTATTGCCAAGTGTAAACAAATTGGATGTCCATGGTCAATAACCCTAAGATGGATAAAGGATGTGAACTGTTGGAGGGTTACGACATTCACAGATACACATGATTGCCATGTTAGTTTTGGAACTACTATTTTGAGATTCAAAGATCAAATCCAAATACAACTTCTATTTTGAAGATGAGTGAGTATGTATAGTAGAGCTGTCAAAATGGGCCAAGGTTGGCCTGTCTTGGGTTCAACAAGAAACGGGGCACGACCTATTTTTGTTCGGGACGCGATTTTCCCAACCCAATGGGTCAGCCCATCAACCCCCCCCCCCCCCCCCTTTTTAATTTATATTATTAAATTTTTTTAATATTGTATAACATAGGAATCAAACCCCCAACCTTTAAGTTAAAAACTAAAACTATTTCCAACAACGCACATCAAACCTTTTGAACACACACACGAACGAAATTAAATTTAAATTTTTAATATATGATTATAATTTATTTAATTTATATTTAATACTATATAGTTTACATTTAATATGTTTTATTTTGTAATTATAATATTATTAAGTTATAAAGTTTATAAAATATATAGTTTATAATTTTATATCATTTATATAATAAATAAACTTTATATTAATATTTAAATAGTTTCAGTAGTGATGACTATAATGCGGGTAAGTTCTCAACTTTTTTGGATTCTCTCTCTATCCCTGCGTATTAGGGTTCCGTATTTCATCCCTGAGATCTAGGGTTCTGGCTACGTTATTCCAGCGTGTGTTTCTTCTGGTTCGTCTGTTTCTGATGGACGTCCGACAGCTTGTTGAGGGCACGGCTCAAATCACGATTCATGATGAGGAGGTGGGAGTCCAGTTTGACGAGGAGCTCGACGGCGGGGTGGTGCATGGCATCGAACGACACACATGGGCTCTTGTTGGTCAGTTCTTGACTAATCGTAATCTGAAGGTGGAGATAATGAAGAGGGTGATGGCTTCGGCATGGCGACCATTGATGGGTATTGAAATAACGGATGTCCGTCCGGGGCTTTACCTTTTTACGTTTTTTGATGAGGCCGATCGACATCGAGTTTTGGAGGAGGGGCCTTGGGCATTCGAGAACGCGTTGTTTCTTTGTCAACCACTAGAAGAGGATGATGATCCGGCTTCGTTGGTGTTGAGTACAGTTGATTTTTGGGTCCAGGTTTTTGGGCTCCCGACGGGTTATCGGACGGAGAAAGTGTTAGAGAAGGTCGGGGATTATGTTGGTGTGTACTTGCGTATGGATGAGCGGAATTTCACGAGGCTATGGTCGGAGTTTTATAGGGTTCGGGTGCGGGGCTTGATGTTACGAACCCCATTAAGCGTCGCATGAAGATGGTCATGCGTGATGGCTCGACGGCGTGGATTGATTTCAGGTATGAGCGTCTTAATGTTTTCTGTTATTATTGTGGCAAGCTGGGGCATATAGAAAAATTCTGTTTAGAGGCACGTCGGTCGTCATTGACGCTGGAACAGTACATTTATGGTCCGGGGTTGAAGGCGGGGGGAATGGGGGCAGCCAAGGTGTTGGGGGATAAATGGTTTCGGCTTGGTCAGGAGAGGAGGGGGGAGATTGGCTATGGTGGTGTTGTGGTGGGGAGGGGGTAGCAGAGGGGGATTCGGGATGGGGGTGTTGTTGAGGGAGTGGATGGCAGATTAGGGCCGGGGCAGTCGAGGGAAAGGGTCTCGGGTTTGGGGGTAGAGCAGGTTAATGTGGCTGCTGCTGTGGTTGAGGGAGAGGAGAGGGGTTTGAGGGTGGATCCAAAGCGGAGGAGGGGTCCGGAAGGTGAGGTGGTGTGTGAGGTGAGGGCTACGCAGATGGAAACGGAGAATGACGGTTTGGTGGGACCTAGGAACCAGACCCACCGGTCTCAATGAGTACTCTTTTTTGGAACTGCCGTGGCTTGGGCAATCCACGGACAGTTCAGGAGGTGGTGGACTTAGTGTCCAAGAAGAGGCCCGAGTTCGTGTTTTTGATGGAGACTATGGTGGATAGGAGTCATGCAGAGAGGCTACGAGTGAAGTTGGGTTTTGAGCGTTGCTTTGCGGTTGATAATGACGGCCAGAGGGGTGGTTTGTGTTTTCTATGGGCCAGGAATAATGGTGCACGCTTGATTAAATATTCGACTAATCATATTGATCTGGAGATTTCTTTGCCTGATAAGCCGTTGTGGAGGTTGACTTGTTATTATGGATATGCATAGAGGGATAGGAGGATGGCTGCATGGGATTTTCTACGATCTCTCAAGGGGGTTTCTGACCTTCCTTGGGTGGTCTTGGGGGATTTTAATGATTTATTGATGCAGTCGGAGAAGAGGGGGAGGTTGCCACATCCTGTTGGTTTGATTGAGGGGTTTGCTAAAGCTCTGGATGACTGTGGCTTGATGACACTGCCTATGATTGGATACCCTTACACGTGGGAGCGGGGGAAGGGGACTGCACGCTGGGTGGAGGAGCGTTTGGATAGAGTGGTGGCGAATATGGACTGGTTACAGGGCAATGATAGGGCGAGGGTCTTTAATATTTGGACTGACTCGTCAGATCATACGGCGTTGTTTCTGGATTTAGGTGGGGTGGATCATGTGTTGCGGTCCCGGGGTTTCCGGTTTGAGAATGCATGGTTACTGGATGGTGGTTGCAGGGAGGTGGTGGAAAGGGAATGGTCTAATACTCCAGGTTTGGCTTTACAGGCCAGGCTCGGTGTGTGAGGCCGGGGTTTGAGGAGGTGGGGTGGTGATCGCCATCACAAGTATGGGAAACGGGTTGAAGGAATTAAGAAGGAGATGAATATCTTACGGGGTAGACGTGATCCTGTTTCTTTGGCTCGGTTTAGACAGCTTGATGAGCAGTTGAGTGTGGTGCTAGCTCAGGAGGAGGTTTTCTGGAGGCAGCGTACTAAGCAGCACTGGCTTTAGGGAGCTGACAGGAACACTAAATTTTTTCACACGTATGCCACTTACCGGAAGAAGAAGAATGTGATTCAGAGACTGAAGGATGAGGGTGGTGTTTGGAGAGAGGGCAGTGCCTTGGACTCGGTAGTCACAGGCTATTATAAGCAAATTTTCACCTCGGGGGGGAGTCCAGGGGGTTTTAATGTGGATACCTTGCAGTCTTGTGTGACCAGAGAACAGAATGATGATTTGCTGCGTCTTTTTTAGCCGGAGGAGGTGCGAAGTGCTTTATTTTCTATGGGCAAGGACAAATCTCCAGGATCGGATGGCATGAACCCGGGCTTCTACCAGGCCTTCTGGGATGTCATCGGTAAGGATGTTTCTGATTTTGTACTTAAATGTTTATCTGAGAAGTCTTTTCCTTCAAATTTGAATGATGCTAATATTGTATTGATCCCGAAGAAATGCTCTCCTGTTTCTGTGTCTGATTTAAGGCCAATAGCTTTGTGTAATGTGCTGTATAAGATAATGGCAAAAATGATTGCTAATCGTATGAAACCATTGCTTGAGGGTTTGATTTTTGTTTCGCAAAGTGTTTTTTTACCTGGTAGGTTGATCTCAGATAATATACTTATTGCGTCTGAGGTTGGCCATTATTTGAGGAGGAAACAGTTAGGGCAGGTTGGGTGGGCGGCCTTAAAGCTTGATATAGTGAAAGCTTATGACAGGATGGAGTGGCCTTTTGTGCGACATATGTTGACTGGCTTGGGTTTTGATGATAGATGGGTCCAGCTGGTAATGTTGTGTGTGCAGACAGTACGGTACAGGGTTTTGGTCAATGGGAAGCCTACTGAGGAAATAGTGCCCACGAGGGGACTAAGACAGGGAGATCCATTGTCTCCTTACTTGTTTATAATTTGTGCTGCGGGCTTATCACTGTTGTTGCAGGACTCTCAGGCTAAAGGGCTTTTGCATGGTTGTAGAGTGGCTAGGGGGCACCAGTTATCTCGCATCTGTTTTTTGCAGATGATAGCTTACTTTTCTTTAAGGCTAATTTGCAGGAAGCTCTGGAGGTAAAGAAATGTCTGGGGATTTATGAGGCTTTCTCAGGGCAGGCGGTTAACTTTCAGAAGTCAAGCATTACGTTTAGTCGTAATACACAGGTGGAGGTAAGGAACGAGGTGGCGAGTTCATTGGGGGTGGGCCAAGCTGATGATTTTGGGAAATATCTTGGTTTGCCTTCTGTTGTAGGCCGGAATAGGAGTGCAGTATTCGCATATGTTGAGTAGAAGTTGAGACAGAGGTTCGGATCATGGAACAAGAAGTTGCTATCTAAGGTTGGGAAAGAGGTGCTTCTGAAGAGTGTAGCTCAGGCAATGCCTACCTACACGATGAGTATTTATTTACTTCCTATGACTTTGTGTAATGCTCTTGAAAGGTTGATGAACAGGTACTGGTGGGGCCAGAGTGGTTCGCAGGGCAGTATTCACTGGATGTCCTGGGACCGTATGTGCGTGCCTAAGAAGTTTGGAGGTATGGGTTTTAAACGCTTACATCAGTTTAATATTGCTCTGTTAGCCAAGCAGGGATGCGCCTCTTAACCAGTCCGGAGTCCCTAGTGGCTCGTGTATTTAAAGCCAGGTACTATCTGTCATCTTCGTTTTATGAAGCCACAATTGGTGGTAATCCGAGTTATGCGTGGAGGAGTATTTTTGCAGGTCAGACATTACTAAAGTCTGGGTGCAGGCGGAGGATTGGTCATGGAAGGACCACTAGGGTATTAAATCATCCGTGGCTACCTGATCCTATTGATCCCTATGTAGCTTCGACCCACCCGGGTCTGGGGCAAGAGCTTCTCGTTTCAAACTTGGTTGATAATGCCACAAATGGGTGGAATAATGATCTGCTGGATGAGTTGTTTGCCCCGCGAGATGTTATGTTGATTAAGCAGCTCCCTGTTAGTTTGGATTGTAATGATGATTGGTTTTGGGAGAGGGATCTCAGAGGTTGCTACTCGGTTAAAGATGGTTACAGAAGGATGGGAGAGGTAAATGGCCCATGTTTGCCAGTATGGAGAAATTTGTGGAGCTTACAGGTCCCACCTAGATGGAGAATTTTTATGTGTAGAGCTTTGTCTGACATCCTGCCCACTCTTGATAATTTGATTAATAGAAGAATTGAGTTGATTAATGTTTGCCCAGCATGTGGTTTGGAGGAGGAGAATATCATGCATGCCTTATGTTCTTGTTCTTATGCTTCACAAGTGTGGAATTTCTCTCAGTTACTAATCCCTTCTTTTGACGGCAGGAGTTTTAGGCAATGGACAGAGCTTTGGCTTAGAAACTCGATTACTTATAACTCGGAAGCTCAGGGGAGGATATGTGGCTTGTTATACGATATTTGGACTGCCAGGAATGAGGCGGTTTGGGATGGTTATTTGCCTATGCCATGTGTGGTGGTCAGGAGGTTCACAACGAAGTGAATTTCTTGGGCTGCTGCTGATCAGCAATGATGTATTACGCGCGTAGCGCAGGAACCCCCGGGTTTGGCTTCAGTGTTAGATGAAGGTGTGGTTTGTCGTGTAGATGCAGGCTTCAATGGTCCTAATCATAGGCCGGCCTATGGTTTTATAGTGCAGGAGTTGGATGGTGCCTTTGTGGCGGCAGGGAATGGCCCTATTATTTGCCCATATGACCCCCTCTTGGCGGAAGCAATGGCTTTGTGTGAGGCTTTATCATGGCTAAGGGAGAATGGTTACTCGAGGATTTCAGTGTGCTCCGATAGTCTTGTTTTAGTTTCTAGTCTTAAGCATGCAAGTTCGTTTCGTACTTATTTTGGTTATGTTTTGTTAGCTTGTAATCGTTTGTTATCTTCTATGACTAGATCAGTAGTAATTCATGTTCGTAGGGATGATGTACAGGCTTCCCATGTTATGGCTAAGCATGTAACTGCCTCTTTGGCTCGTTGTCTCTGGAGGGATTTTCCTCCTTCTTTTCTTGAGCCTGGAATGGCTAATGCAGTATAAGTTTGTTGGCTTTCAAAAAAAAGTTTCAGTAGTGATAAGTTAAGTGAAAGGTCAAGGGTTCAAGTCTTGTTAGCAACAACATTTTTAAATATTAATACAATACCCAATTAGGCAATTACACAACAAATTTGAGAGTGGTAGGTTGGGGGGTGGGGATGCGGGTTATACGGGTTGTCCTGTGGAACTCACGGGCCAACCTGTATAACTCGTATCCCACACGGTTATATGGGTCAGGTTGGAAATTCTCCAACCCATCCCATCTAAAATGCGGGTTAAACGGGCCCAACCCGTCAGGTTGGGCTCGTTTTGACAGATCTAATGTATAAGAAGGAGGGAATAGAATATTTCTAAGATGGTATATATGACGGGAAACCTGTAAGAATGGTTTCTAACATTGCAGGAAAATTTTAGGGGTTGATGGTTGCCATTTAAGATCCAAGTATGGTGGGTATTTGTTGACAGCAACTGCCATGGATCCCAATGATGGAATTTCCCCAATTGCTTATACACTGGTTGGGGGGTGAAAACAACGAAGCATGGTCATAGTTTTTAGCTTTGCTCAAGCATGATTTAGGAATTGATGTTGCGGCAGAGAATGAATTCACATTTATTTCAGATAAGCAAAAGGGGTTGATTCCTGCATTTAATGTGGTACTACCAAATGTGGTTCATAAATTCTGTGTAAGGCATTTGTATGCAAATCTGAAGGATGCAGGCTTTCATGGCAAAACAATTAAGGACACATTGTGGGTAGTAGCAAGAGCCACCAAAGTGAATTCTTTTAAGGATGCAATGAGGAAGATGAAAGACCTTGATAGCAATGCATTTGATTGGTTGGTAGACAAACACCCATCTGAACGGTCATGCTCACACTTCACATGTTTTGCGCTATGGGATATTTTAGTGAATAATGTGAGTGAGTGCTTCAATGCTATGATAGTTAAGGCTAGGGAATGTCCTTTGATAATGTGCATTGAGATGCTTCGGACAATCTTGATGACAAGATTATTTAAGAATAAACAAGAGGAATTTGAATGGATAGGACCTATTTGTCCCAACATTGTGAAGAAAATTGTAGTAGAAGAGAAATTTGAAGGTGGGTATATACCATTACAATGTGATTTGAATTTGTTTGAAGTGAAGAAATTGCATACTGAGGAGCAACACCATGTAGATTCGGGCAAGAAAACATGTTCATGCAGGAAATGGAATTTGACTAGAATCCCATGTAGACATCCAATATGTGCAATCTGGATGAAGAGACACATTGTCTTGGATTATGTAGATAGTTGCTACACAATTGAGGCATACTTGAAAGTTTATGGATGTTGCATCAAAGAAATGGTTGGTCCAAATGAGTGGCCTCACACTCATAGAGAAGTACCCTTGCCACCTGAATACAAAGCAAAACCTGGCATGCAAAGGAAACTGAGGTTGAGAGGAGCTGATGAAAAAAAAAATCAAATCACAAACGATGGGGTCAATATGTCTAGAAGGCATGTGGTATTACACTGCACTTTATGTAAACAAAGAGGCCACAATAGTAGGAAATGTCCTCTCAAAGCTATGAGTATTACCTCCTTGTTTAATTAGCTACTAGCACATGTTTTTTTACATGTAATTGATTTCATTTATTTTTTTGCAGAGTAACACTCTGCCACAAAGCAGCAGAACAGAAGAAATGGGAACACCTTTAGAGGAAATGGGAACACCTTTTGCTCACATGATTGATGTAAGTACCCTACACTTAAACTATAGTTAACTTATACCTTTGCCACTGCTCACATGACTGACCTATAGTTAACCTCTCAATTGACTCATCTTTTCTATTCATACTTCTTAATAACCTAGGAATTATCTTCTTCGCACATGGACACATTGCAAGATCAAACCATTGATTGAATCCACATCCGACACCATCCTATCAATAGATTCAAGAATTCTCACAAAGGAGGTAAAATTGAAAATTAATTAATACTAATGAAAAACCTATTACCAGGATGCTCACAATTAAGGAAAAATAATTTTTAAAAAATTCAAAAATTCAAGAATGCTCACAAAGAAGGGAATAGCTCCTTACACAAACCCAAAATCTACGACTGGGATTTTCGCTACTCCAAGAGGTTTGAATGCTCCATTCACTGCCACAATTGCATATACGCGTATGGATTGCATCTCTGTAGTGGTACATCTGTCTTGGTGAAGATGATTGAAAAAGATCATAGATCTTGAATGCAAGAGATTCCTAAATGTTCCTACTCAATTTTAACCAAATTATTTATCTAGAACTGTATCAGTGATCGGATCGTTTTTTCGCTTACGGTTCTCTTTTATATAAAGCGTCGTCAAAAGATTTTGGTGTGCGAGGGTCGTGGATAGGAAGGTAGGTAGAATAAAACGGGAAGTGAGAACCACCTCAAGTATCGTATTCAAGGAATGACAACTTGAAAGTTGAGCAAAAGGTACGGTGAGGTTGATTTGGCGTTAAGTGATTCGATTCAAGTAAGGTTGAGTAAAGAGTTGATTGATATGGAACGAAGAATGACGAGCTTTGAAGAAATAGGAAACAAATAAAGGAAAAACGGGTTAGGATTGTGCTCCAATTGCATTGTGTGATTGGTTGCTCCCTAAAATGAGAGGTTGTAGTGATTTGAATGTGAGTTACTAGTCAAGAGGAACGACTTGCTAGTGCGTAGCCAACTCGGTCTATACACCTCCCGCATGAATTCTCATTCTCTACGATGCAATTTGACGAACACCTTGCCTACGTTCATTCCCGGACCATTATCCTCTCGGATCTTAGGACGGGATATGTAGAGGGTTAAAAGGCCTACCTAGATTTAGCAATCTCTTGCCTAAATCTAGGGATCCAACATCAACCAAGGAGTTAGGCCCTACTCCAAGGAAGCTACAAAGATCTCCCTGAACAACAAGACATCCATAACATCAAAAATCAATCACCACAATATGGGAAATCAAAACAAACCCATCAACACAATAGCAATTTTCACAACAATCCCAATCCCTAGAATTTTAGCTTACCATCATTAAGATCAAGATCAAGCAATTGCAAAATAGGCAAAACAAGATATAATCAATAAAGAGTATGGGGTAGATTTTACCCAAATGCAATCTAGATCTCTTTAATAGCAAGGGGGAAATGAAGATCCAAGCCACAATTGCTCCAAATCTCCAAATCTTCTTGCAAATCCAAAGGTTTTTGGCTCAAACCCTAGAAAGAGAAAAACTAAGCTAATCTAGATCTAAAACTTCTCTCTAAAAACTCTGAAAAATCTCTCTAAAATTGTGTAATTCTTCCTCCAAGAAATATGAAATATGCCTTAAATATTTCCTTTTCCATTCGGCCTCCCATTTACGCATGGCGTCACGCCGTGACGTCGGCGTAAATGGGAAATAGTCTTCCTTTCGTGCTTAGCTTCGTCCGGCTTCCTTAATTCAGATTTACACGGGCTTTTACGCCGTGAGGCCCTCGTAATTTGGGAATAACTCTCCTTCGCTTTCGCCTTGTCCTTCTTACGCCACTCTTACGCCGTGAGGCCGGTGTAAATAGGAAATAGTTCTTCTTTTCTCTTCCTCACGTATGTGGCTTGTGCTGTGTTTGGGTCCCCGTGTGTGTTCTTTTCTTGGCCTTGATCTTTTTAGCTTCTTTTGCCACTTTTCTTGCCCAAAAACACCTATAATCATGCAAAATACAATTGGGAAGGTATCTTTGTGCTAAACCGTATTTTTAGGATAAATTACCCTCAAGAGCAAGACTTTCAGGTTAAAAACATGCAAAAATACCTATATTAGGTTCCTCAAAACTAGCATATTTTGACGCTTATCAATTAGGTACAGAATGATAAACAAATAAATAATAAGCTAAAAGAAAGAACTAGACACGCAACAATTGTTTACGCTGTTCGAAGCAACAACTCCTACGTCTGCGGGGCAACTCACGTCAGCCCAATCCACTAGATAATTACCAAAAGCTTACAGGGGTAATCACAACCATACGACACCAATACAACCTTCATCATCTACGAGATTGAGTACATGCATGCCAAACACAACACACATCTAAAGACCATGAACACGATCCATGAGAGTCTTGATATATTGTTAAACCCTTCGAAAATGCAGTGATATAAACTGTTGAGGACTTGAGGAATTAATTCATAAGTTTGATCAACTTCTTTGTTAATTTGAGAAAGCCAAACTACCCTTTATATAACCAAAATAATCCAACCACTTTGTCTAAAAGATTGCAGCTTAAAGACCTCAAAACAAGCTGCTCCAAATAATTCAAAAGCTACCTGAAAAGAGGGCCTAAATACAAGAATTTGTTAGAGAAAAAACGCCCACTCTGGAATACGTTTTTACTAAGATCCAGACTGCTCTGACGTAGATCCTGACTCAATTCTAAAACCTAATATAGACTAATAAATATAACCTAAGTTTTGACAAATAATTTAGCCAATATAAAATAATAAAATGTGTATCATTTGTACACTTACAATCTCCCCCCTTTAGCAATTATTTGACAAACTAAAGACAAATATACTTTTAGGAAAAAATAGATATTCAATCAATTTATTAAACAAAAAGCCTTTTAAGTATACGTGTTAACACAAATAGCCTACGAGAAATAATAACAATAAAAACATAAAAAACCAAGATGATCCAATGAGAACCTGACAAATAATCCGACCCATAGGCTTCAATGCTTCCAAGAACAACCTGACAAATAATCTGATTCCCATAATACCAGAAACCATTCAACAACAAGATAGATAACCATTCAACCCAAAGATAATTCAACAGCAAGAAGGATAACCAATATGATAGTCCGAAAGCCAACAATACCAATAAGAAAATCCAATAACTAGAGATTCCAAACAGAATAATCCACAGAATAAATGGTCCAATAAAACCACTACAATCATCACAATAAATATCCATAAAGCCAACCAAAATTATTCACAAGATAAAAAGATTACCAAAAAAAAGTACCAAACTATGTTCGAAAAGAGCTCCCCCCAGCTCCCCCTCAGATTATTGCTCCCCCTTTTTGTCAAAGAGATTGCCAAAGGTGATCATCAGATTCCAGGGCTTGAGGCTGACGGAGTGCCCAAAGATTCTGTATCATGGGCATGCTCATCATTTGTAGCAAAGGTCGAAGCAATAGCATCCTCCAACTTGGAAATCTTTTGTAGAGTGGCAACCAGTTTCTCTTAAGTAGTTAATGCAGTAGCTTAGTGACGAAGATCAATTAGCTCTGGAGGATTGGCTGGACCTGAGATAGGGACAGATGCAGTGGCAATGGCTGCTAGAACAGCAGAAGAAGATCCTGAGGCAGTGGGCTCTGTAGGAACTGTTGGAGCAGGTGTAGGGAAAAAATCTAGAGATGCTCGATCATCAAAATGCTTGCCTTGATGAAGTCTAGGATCCATCGTATACTTGCTTTGGATTTCATACACCGGTTCATGGGAAGGGGAAATGGATTTTGGCCTCCTTCTTCTCCGCTAAACCCATAAGATGAGAAAAGATAATTGATCCCAAGTCAAAATCAATTTTATGACGCACTTTGTAAAGCATAGCGGCCATTTCTTAGAAATAAAATGGAGAGACAGCAGCCAACTACACGAAGCCAACCGAAATAGTACTGAGTACACTGTAGTCAAGAGATTAGAGGGAATATCTCCCTTATGCCAGGTAGGAAGATGAGAATGAGTCAGAGATGAAGCCAGCAAGTACAGAGCAGGTTCAAATGGTTCTTCAAGTGCAGTCCTGTTGAAATACGATTTGATAATGGAAGGGCTAAAATGATACCATTTATTTCAGACAAAAACCTGATGGAAATGAGGTGAGGACTCTATGACAGTGTCTGTAGAGAGATTCACATAAAATTCTAGAATTAGCCAACTCTGAATAGGATCCAACATCCCTGACAGCCTTGAGGAGATTTTGATCCCGAAGCAAAGACACCACATTGCAGTGACCAACTAGATTATCCTCATCAATATCATTCTCAAGCAACATACCATGCTTAGAATGAATTTGCTTCCAAGTCTCCATGAGATTGGCATTTCGCATAATAAGCCTAAAGGCTTTGGCTTTTGAGGGCTTAGGAACAACAACTAGAGCAGGGATAGAGGTAGGTGAAATTAAAGGAGGTATAGTAGGAGGTGATGCACCAGTCCTAAACTTGGTTAGACGAACAGAAGTAGAAGACATATCCCTTTTTCGGTGCTTAAACTCAGACAGAATAACAACTCATCAGAATCATCTAGCTTTCTCTTCCCTATAACAGAGTCAAGAGAACATGGAATAGACATTTTTTCTTTTCCCTTTTGGGAAGATCTTGGGAAAGGAACCTGGACAATAGGAACTGACTGACCAAAACAAGGAACCTTTGTTCACGGAAGATATACAAAATTTATTTTGTCATTACAAAATATTCGACCACAAGAACCTTTGTTCACGAAAGATATACAAAGCAATCATGCTGATAACGTGATGTGAAACTAGATAAATAGACCAGAATACAAGGAGAATATCAATCTTTAATTAATCATCTTTCAGTATAATATATATATATATATATATATATATATATATATATATATATATATATATATATATATATATATACATATGCTCAAAATATAGATATAACTACAATATTACAAAGGATGAAGAGGTATTATAATAGTATAATACTTATATATAGTAATGTCCACATATATTTATTCACAACAC